CCCCCCCTAAAGTGTTAAAGCTGGGGAGGGCTTTGGACCTCTTCGGGAAAACGCTGGCCTCTGTTTTAAGTGTTCTGGCTGTTGCTTTAAGACATGTAATTCTTTTAAGCCTCAGTTTCCCACTTAATGCTTCTCTAGTGTGTCTGGATCGAAAATCGAAAGTGCTTGCTTTCCTCACTGTGGGACCTTAGGTCTCTTCTGAGCAAGTGAACATTTCAAGCTACTAGAGCGCTGAGCTTGCTGTGCTTGCCTACGTCCACTTTCTTGGACAGCCTCCCTCTCCTCCTCTTTGGTGCCATTTCTTTTCTTGAATATTGAATTTCAAGATATGCTTGTATTTTCTTACTAGTTTGGCATTGATAATTTTCCAACAGATAAGTTTGTTTGGTGGTTTGGGTGTGTATGTGTTCTTCTGCAGCCCATTTAACAACAAATAGTATTTAAAAATTTGATCTGTTATTATTTTTTAATTTCACCAGAAAGAGAGAGAGGGAAAGTGAGAAAGCAAGGGAGCCTTTAGGTCTGGGACTCAGTTGTGGTTGACCACGTGGGAGTCCAGTGCTTTAACCACCATGCCACCTGCTGGCCCCTACAGCTTTTTTTTCTTTTTCTTTTTTAAGAATTATTTATTTAATTTTATTTATTCATTCATTCATTTTCATTTGACCAGAGAAACACAGACATACAGAGAGAAAGAAAATGAGAAAGCAAGCCACCAGGTATGGGACTTAAACCGTGGTCGACCATGTGGGAGTGTCTAGCACCTTAACCACCATGCCACCTGCTGGCCCTCTACAGCACATTTTATGTTGGGTAACTTCTGCATACCCAGTTTTTGGACCACAGTTTAAGTATTCCTGATTTATAAAGTTGGCTAGTTTTGGAGGTTTATGTATATTGTGGATGTTAACTTTTTCGTTGTCTTGAGCATTTCCTTTCATACTCTGGTGTCTTTTTTTCTCTTTTGGCACATTACCTAAAAGTTCTCCAAAATGTTGTGATCTATTACCCTTTGCTTACCAGTTACTAATTTTTCCACTTGAGGGAATGGGAGTTTTTTCGTTTGAAGAGTTTTTTTATTTTATTTGTTATTAATTTGACCAGAGGAAGAGAGAGAAGGGAAAAGTGAGAAAGCAAGTCGCCAGGTCTGGGAATTGAACCGTGGTCAGGCATGTGGGAGTCCAGCACTTTAACCACAGCACCACCTGCCAGCCTCATGGAAATGGGAGTATTTTGTGTGAGATGGTATGGAAGTGTGGGTGAATGGTTAAGCTGAAAAATTAATTGCAAGGCAGAAGCATTCTGCAAGGGAAGCAGAAATTTGTGATAGAGAACAAGAAAGCTAGGTTTAGAGTGGGGAGGATTCTTTTTTGGGGGGCTATAAAGAAATTTTTTCATTTATACGTTGTCGCTTTAAGTTCAGTCTCATCTATTACTCCCCTCCCCCATAGTTGTTTTTTGTTTTATTTCATTTCTCTTAGGTCTGCTATTGGGATTGGGCAGGGACCTGTCCTTAGACTTGAAGGGCTTGTCAGCAAACAGTTCAGGATCTGTATTAGCTCCCATCCATTCAACATCTCGCTTTTCCTTTTAGGGGGGAGGGAGTGCTTCAGTGCATTTTTTTAGGCATTTGTATGGTTATTCTATATTTCTAAATTTTTTAAATGCATCTTTCTGTCTCAATTTGACCTTATTTCCATCTTTTTTTTTTTTTTTGGAGAGGTTTTTTTTTTTGCTATAGGGCACATGCGCTCTCCAGAGAGACAGAGACAGAGAGATAGAAAGCGAGAAATCACTCCCCGGGGGGATGGCCACACTGCAATCCCTTCTCCATTCTCCTCTTGGGATCATTGGGCACGCATGCATGCACGCACATGCGCCCTGCGTGAGTTTAAGCCACCGGGTCTGGGACTTGAACCACGGTCGGCTACATGGGAGTCCAGCGACATAGCCATTACGCTAACTGCTGGTCCCCTTATTTCCACCTATTTTGACCAACTCCTGCTTTGCCCCTTCCTTAGGCTTTCCTGGGATAATTTTCCCTAACGTATTTATGTTCTGTAAAACTGTTTTGAAGAAGATGAGTTGGAAAAAGAAACAGTACATATAGCAGGAGAAAGGAATAGAATATGTTTAGCCAAGGAATCTAAACAGAAAAATGGGCTTGAGGATTCTTCCAAGCCATGCTAGACTTGGGACAGGTTCAGAGGATAGAACCTGTGGGAGGCCTGGGGAACAGGTAGAGGGATTGGGAGAGAGAAACTAGCAGGTGTAATACAGGTGATTGATAGGGAAAGTCACAGTTGGACATCGACAAAAGAGGTAGAGAGTGAGTTTTCTAGGTAAGTTGAGGCAAGGTATGAGAGTAGTTGAAACAGGCCGCTAGTTTGATGTGTTTAAATACATTGAGTTCAAAATAGGTACTATTTAGCAAGAGTTGGAGGAGCTGAAAGTCATGTGGCAGATCTTATTGGGAAGGAAATTGGAGGAATAAAATATCAGGGTAGTTGATAGAAGCTGTAAGTAGTTGGAGTAAGGAAATGGCTTCTTACCTGGGAGGTGAAGTATAAAGTTAATGTGTCCAAGTTCATGTATATCTCTGGCGTGCATGGTGGCCTTTAGTCTGGGTGTGAGGCTGCTAGGACACTTCTGATTTATCTCTACCAACCAGTTTACCTGTTCAGGTATCTAGGGGCTGTATAGTCCATTTTGTGTTTATGCAGAATAACCTGAAATCCTTAGGTAAGTTCTCAGGAGAGTGTTTGGATACTGGCTGCAGGCCCTTGGGTGCCACAGATCTATGTTTGGTGTTTATTGTGCTCTGTTTTGAAGCCTTGGTCAGTTACCAGAGGTTAGGAATTAGAGTAGTTGGTGAAGACACCATTTGTGTATTGGGGCCAAAGGAGAATAAAAGGACAGCGTAGAGAGATCAAGAGAAACAGGATTCTTGTTTGCCTGGGGTGGAAAAAGAAGAAAGTCCAGGTGCAAGGAAGGATGATTTAGAATTTTGTGCAAGAGCATTGGGCAAAAGTCTGAAAGAACTGGGCTATGATTTGGTGGAAAGGAAACTGGGAAGGATAAAGAAAGGGCTTTTGTTAGACTAGGAGAATGAAGAAGCATTATGTAGCTAAAGGAGATTTAGTGTGACGATAAATGTTGAAATAGGGATGAAGAGCAGGGCCTTGGGTGGTGGTTAAGTTGTTAGTTTGGGGCCAGGGGCCTGACCCGTATCTCCCCGCTCCCCCCCAGGAGCGGTGGTGCCCCCCCTCCCCGGGCACGGGGCCATGTACAACGGGATCGGGCTGCCGACGCCCCGGGGCAGCGGCACCAACGGCTACGTCCAGCGCAACCTGTCCCTGGTGCGGGGCCGCCGGGGTGAGCGGCCTGACTACAAGGGAGAGGAGGAACTGCGGCGCCTGGAGGCTGCCCTGGTGAAGCGGCCTAATCCTGACATCCTGGACCACGAGCGCAAGCGGCGCGTGGAGCTGCGATGCCTCGAGCTGGAGGAGATGATGGAAGAGCAGGGGTGAGGGGAGGGCTGGGGTAAAGCCAAGCACTGAATGAGTGCAGAGCTGGGGGTGTTAGGTGGGATGTAGGGAGCTTAGGGCTGGTTGAAGGAGGCCTGGAGAGGAGATAGAATAGGGGAGGTAAATAGAACTAGAGAATGAAAAATAGTTTAAGGGACAGAGCAGTGCGGGAGATGAGGAAACTGTTTGTCAGGGTCACAAATGGGAGCCTGAGAGTGAATTATTTAAGCAGAGGTACATGGGGGAAGGGGGGCATTAGAGAATAAAAATATGCTTTAAGGAAGAGACATGAAAGCCAAGACAAGGCAGGAAAAGAGCGAGGTTGGTTGATAGGTGTTGCCTTTGGTAGAAAAGAGGAAGGCAGAAGAGTTTAAGGATTGAGGCTTTGAAAAGTAGTAAAGACAAGAACACAGGAGTTGGAAGAATACTCAAGAGGGGAATCATGGGCTGGATAGAGAAGGGAAATGTGGAAAAGGAGCACATTTAGGCAGAAACCCTATTAGAGCAGTGGTTTTCAAACTTCACTGGCACCTTTTTCATGTATTATATTTGACTTTGGTATCAAAACACCTGTTTTTGTTGAAGTGGGGAAGAGCACTTGGAACTCAGCCTGGTTAACTTTCTTTTCGTGGCTCTTGCAGTGTGTAGCATGTTTAAAATCCACTGTTCTAGAGGGTGTTATATTGAATAGAGAGAAGAACGATGAAGGGAGAAGATCAGATGTACTTTAGGGACTTTTGGGTGACAGTGAGTGAAAAGTTCTATGTGTGCATGAAGAGGGAAGGGACCCTATTAGGAATGAGGATTGGGGAAAGTGTCCTGTCAAGCTCTAACCCTGAAGGGGTTTGTTCTTCAGGTACGAGGAACAGCAGATTCAGGAAAAAGTGGCGACCTTTCGACTCATGCTGCTGGAGAAGGATGTGAACCCTGGGGGAAAGGATGAGACCCCAGGGCAGAGGCCAGCGTGAGTATTTTGCTCTGGTCTCGCTTGATTCTTCTGGCCTGTATGCTGCTGCTACTATTCTTTCTCCTTACTTAGAACTTTCCTCCTGCCTTCATTTTCCTTTTCCTGTGCCTATTTGACTCCTGCTTATAATTGTGTTCTCAATGTGGCTCTGCCCCTTGCTCTGTATTTCTTTCAGACTTTCGTCCTTTTTTCTTGTAGGGTAACTGAGACTCACCAGTTAGCAGAATTGAATGAGAAGAAGAATGAGCGTCTCCGTGCTGCCTTTGGCATCAGTGATTCCTATGTGGATGGCAGCTCTTTTGATCCTCAGCGTCGAGCTCGGGAAACTAAACAGCCAGTTCCTGAGCCTCCCAAACCTTACAGGTACACAAGACCAAGAGACCAATATCAGGGGCTCTTTCTGTGTTTAAGCACACTGTATTTTTGTGGAGTGTTTCTTCCTAAGTTCTTTAGAATTTGTTCTTCTATAGTGAAAACGTGTAATAAATTTATCTTAGTACCCATTTTCGCTTCTTTTTGTTTCTTCCCAGCCTTGTCCGAGAGTCTAGTAGCTCTCGTTCACCAACTCCAAAGCAAAAAAAGAAGAAAAAGAAGAAAGACAGAGGACGGTAAGTTAGTCAAAAAGTTACTCTAGTCACCAGAAGACCCATTCTGTGGTATACGTTCTGGAAATGTGGAGTTTTTGATTCTAGGAAGCAAGAGACAGTTGTCAGGGAGCAGGGAATTACCATTTAGTTTCAGCTGGGAAAATAAATGTGTGTGCTTCTCAGTGGGGAAAGGTCAGGTCTGCAGCTCTGTCAATTAACTGACCACTGGCATTTTGGATTTTTGGAATTTCCTTTTTTATTTTGAGGTTTGTTGATTTAAGGAGATATGGGAGATACTTTGTTAGTAAAAAGGGAGTCCTGGGCTTAAGTTCGGGGCGTTTATATCAATTAGCTTGACTTTAGAAAATAAAATAACTCTGGCATGTGTTGTAAGGAGAGGGCCAGGGAAATAGCCTAGCAGAATGACCTAGCCTCTGAATCCATCTTTAGCAGGTCAGAGAGCAGCTCTCCTCGACGGGAGAGAAAGAAGAGCTCAAAGAAGAAGAAGCACAGGTAGGAGATGGGTGTAGAATGGTTGTAAAGGCTCTCAAAGTACAGGCATAGATGTCAATATATGTATTTTCTTTTTGTTTCCAACAGGTCAGAATCTGAGTCTAAGAAACGGAAGCATAGGTAAGAGCTCTTTGGCTGAATTGGGAAGACATAGTGGCATGTGGGAGTGCAGAGCCAGTGTTTGTTGGCTTTGCTTGCTCTTTAATAGTCGCTGAGAGTGTTTTCTTTTTCTTGGAGTAAAGGTCAGTTTGCTGATCTTTATGTTGATAACACTCCCCAGTTCTATTTTACTTTTGATTTTATTTCCTTTAAAAAAAATTAATTCTGAATAACCTTGCCTTATTTCCCAGGTCTCCCACTCCAAAGAGCAAGCGTAAATCTAAGGACAAGAAGCGGAAACGGTTAGTGCATTTGAGGGGAATATGCTTAGTAAGCTGAATGCCACTGTAGGGGAAGAAGCTAGACTTGGTCATGTCTCTGACTAGTAAAGGCCTGAGGAATGGGTGAGGAGAATCTAATCTAGGTGTGACAGCACCTTGAGTTGTGATGGTGGTCATCTTTTAGGTCTCGAAGTACAACACCAGCTCCCAAGAGCCGCAGGGCACACCGTTCAACTTCTGCTGATTCTGCTTCCTCCTCTGATACTTCCCGTAGTCGGTAAGGGGTAGTCCAGGAGGAAGGGAGGGAGAGGGAATGGTGGGTTAATTAATTTAATATTTATTGAGCGCCCACGGTGTGCTAGGCGCTGCACAGACCATTCGGAAGACACGGTCCCTGCCCTCTAGGAGCTGACAGGCTAAAGCAACAGGATGGACAGACATATACATTTCCCCTTCTCTTTTTTTTTTTTTTTTAAATTATTTATTTATTTTTTTCCTCTTTCGTTCTGATGTATATGGACTGCCAGAATAGGGGGTGGGGGTTGGTTTGTTCGTGGTGTCTGGGGGAGGAAGGAATCCTTACCCTGGCTTCCTTAATCGGGGAAGGCTTCTTGAAGGAGGTGGGCTCAGGTGAGTTGTGAATGAAGCAGGTAGGGAATGGGTTGGGTGGAGGGTTTGGGGATGTTTGGGGAGGTGAATCAAGGGGTAGAGGGAAAACATCCTTTGGGATTGTGTTGGGAAGGTTAAAGTACAGTGAGCTTGCGTTTTAATGAGTGATTTGAGTCATGCGATTAAGGTTTTTTGGAAGAGGGTTGTAGAGTGAGGAATTGTGGATGGGAGCTGGGGAGGGGGTTTTCTGTTCTCCCTTAAACTGATTTTTCTCCTTTTCCCCTTCGTCAATTAACTCCCTAAGGTCTCGAAGTGCTGCAGCTAAAATCCATACAGCTAACTTGACTGGGAGAAGCCCTTCTCCTGCCTCAGGGAAATTATTTATTTATTTTTTTCCTCTTTCGTTCTGATGTATATGGACTGCCAGAATAGGGGGTGGGGGTTGGTTTGTTCGTGGTGTCTGGGGGAGGAAGGAATCCTTACCCTGGCTTCCTTAATCGGGGAAGGCTTCTTGAAGGAGGTGGGCTCAGGTGAGTTGTGAATGAAGCAGGTAGGGAATGGGTTGGGTGGAGGGTTTGGGGATGTTTGGGGAGGTGAATCAAGGGGTAGAGGGAAAACATCCTTTGGGATTGTGTTGGGAAGGTTAAAGTACAGTGAGCTTGCGTTTTAATGAGTGATTTGAGTCATGCGATTAAGGTTTTTTGGAAGAGGGTTGTAGAGTGAGGAATTGTGGATGGGAGCTGGGGAGGGGGTTTTCTGTTCTCCCTTAAACTGATTTTTCTCCTTTTCCCCTTCGTCAATTAACTCCCTAAGGTCTCGAAGTGCTGCAGCTAAAATCCATACAGCTAACTTGACTGGGAGAAGCCCTTCTCCTGCCTCAGGGCGTCGAGGGGAGGGAGATGCACCTTCCAATGAACCAAGTACCACTAGCACACAACGGCCCAGCAGTCCAGAGCCTTCTACAAAGCAACCTAGTAGCCCTCATGAAGACAAAGATAAAGACAAGCCTGAGGTATGTTCCCGAGTTAATAGATAACTCATTGAGTTGCAAAGATAGGGGTATAGGACTGATGTGTGAAGTGAAAGGGAGAGTTGTAATGGTTTATTAGGAGAAGTGAATGCATTTTTTTCCTGCATTCTTCTTCCACTTAACACGTTTCTATTCTCTATCGGCAAGTTCTTTAGAATTGTGACTCACTGAATTGTGAAGCCTTTCAGATCAAACCTCAGTGGATATTAATTGCATTTATGTCATTATAATGTCTGCATGGAACTGGAGTGAAAGTTTCTCTTAAATTGCATTTAGCAGGACCAGCAGTTAGCATAATGGCTATGTTGCTGGGCTCCCACGTAGTCGACCATGGTTCGAGTACTGGACCCGGTGGCTTAAATTTAAGCTGGGCGTATGTGCATGCGTGCCCAAGATCCCCAAAGGAGAATGGAGGAGAAGAGATTACATTGTGGCCATCCCCCTTGGGGGACGATTTCTCGCTTTCTGTCTGTCTCTGTCTGTGTCTCTGGTGAACGCACGCGCCATATAGTTAAAACCTCTCCAAAAAAGAAAAGAAAAATTGCATTTAGCTTTACTACTTACAATGTTTGAGGGTTTTTTCTGTTTCATTAAATGTTGGTCATAGCTCACTAAAAATTTTCAACCTTCTGGGTTGCTGCCAACAAGTCCAACACACTGTGGAATGATCTGATCTCTCTGTTTTTTTGGCCAGAAAGCATGTGTGCTCACCAGAAAAAGGAATAAAGCACTCCCCAATGGCGTGTGGTCATAGCATAATTTCTTCTCCATTTTGTCAGGATTCTGGGCATACATGCACATGTGTGTGATATGTTTTTCATGCCTCTGAGGTTGGAATTCAGACCTGTGGTTGGTAATGTGGAATTTGGCTTTCTTAACTACCAGGCTAAGGAGTCGGTCCAAATTGGGTTTCAAATTTTCTGTTCTAATTCAAGCCTTAATAATCTTTTCTCACTTCAACTATTATTACATAAATTCTTTTTTTTAAGAATTAATTAATTTTATTTATTCATTCACTTTATTTTAATTTGATCAGAAAGACAGAGAGAGAGAGAGAGAGTGAAAGAGGGAAAGTGAGAAAGCAAGCCACCAGATCTGAGACTCGAACCGGGGGTGGCCATGTGGGAATCCAGTGCCCTTATCCACCACGCCACTTAGCGGCCCCACATAAATTCTTTCTTAATCTATATGTTATCCGAGGTTATTTTCCAAATTACAAATTGAATCACTCACCTCAGATCACCTACTTCCTGCTATAGAATTATACTTAAGGCATGTATAATTTGATCTTTTATCTCTTCCTATATTTCAGCTCTCCTAGCCTACTTTTTATATTTCACATAAATCACATTCTCAAACTTCTACTTCATTGTTCATACTTTTCTCATTTTATAGTTATTTCTGAAGGGTGAAGTTCACATTGGGAGTTGGTTCTCACTTTAAAATGCTCTTTTCGCCCAACAGCATTTTGTGATCTGTTCTTAACAGTTGTGAATCATTTATTTTCATTTTGTCTTTACTCTGAGATTTTCAGACATCATGGCCAGATTCTTTATGTGTGTTCTTCACCTTGCCTGATACTATGTGATTTCTTCATATCAATTAATAAGACTATTGTGAGGGGGAAAGGACCAATTGTTGTAATGGGGCGTGTAGAAGTTTCATTGTAAAGGGATTTGGAGTCTTATAGGTGATGTGAAGATTTGATGCTTATATATTCCTATCCCTGCTCTCTGTTCCACTCTTAGAAACCTGCAGCTCGACCTAGCCCCTCTCCAGAAAGGAGCAGCACAGGCCCAGAACCATCTGTTCCCACTCCGCTCCTTGCTGAGCAACATGGCAACTCCATACAGCCTCTTGCAACAACCCCTTTAGGTCAAGAGCCAGTGAATCCCCCATCTGAGGCTTCTCCAACCCAGGGCCATTCACCACCTAAATCTCCTGAGAAACCTCAGTCATCTTCAGAGAGCTGCCCACCATCCCCTCAACCTACCAAAGTTTCTAGGCGTGCCAGCTCTTCCCCTGAAAGTTCTAAACCTGCACCAGCTTCTGGGGCCCGTCGAGAGATTTCTTCTTCTCCCACATCCAAGACTCGTTCACATGGCCGAGCAAAGAGAGATAAATCACATTCTCGCACCCCTTCCCGTAGGGTAGGGAGGTCCCGGAGCCCTACCACTACTAAGAGGGGGAGATCGCGATCTCGAACCCCTACCAAGAGAGGTCATTCTAGGTCCCGGTCCCCTCAGTGGCGTAGGTCCCGGTCTGCACAGAGGTGGGGAAGGTCTAGGAGCCCCCAGAGACGTGGCCGCTCTAGGTCTCCTCAGCGACCAGGCTGGTCAAGGAGCAGAACTAACCAGAGAAGAGGCAGGTCTAGGTCAACAAGACGAGGCAGATCACAATCTAGATCCCCAGCCACAAGGGGCAGGTCTCGTTCTAGAACACCAGCCCGTCGAGGCAGATCCCGCTCTAGAACACCTGCTCGGCGAAGGTCACGGTCCAGGACACCTGCTAGACGTAGGTCTCGTTCAAGAACACCAGCCCGAAGGGGTAGGTCTAGGTCTAGAACACCTGCCAGGCGCAGATCTAGGACCCGGTCACCAGTGCGACGGAGATCTCGTAGTAGATCACCAGCCAGGAGAAGTGGAAGGTCACGCTCTAGAACCCCAGCCAGGCGGGGGAGGTCGCGTTCTAGAACCCCAGCTAGACGCGGTGGTCGCTCGCGCTCTAGAACTCCAGCCAGACGTGGTGGTCGGTCACGCTCTAGAACTCCAGCAAGGAGAGGGAGATCTCGGTCCAGGACACCAGCAAGACGAAGATCTCGTAGTAGAAGTCTGGTTAGACGTGGAAGATCTCATTCTAGAACACCACAAAGAAGAGGCAGGTCTGGTTCATCATCGGAGAGGAAGAACAAATCCAGAACATCTCAAAGAAGGAGTAGGTCTAACTCAAGCCCAGAAGTTAAAAAATCTCGTGTGTCTTCAAGGCGGAGCAGGTCTCTTTCTTCACCACGATCCAAAGCAAAATCTCGCTTGTCTTTGAGGCGAAGCCTTTCAGGGTCCTCTCCGTGCCCTAAACAGAAGTCACAGACACCACCCAGGCGTAGTCGCTCTGGATCATCCCAACCTAAAGCTAAATCTAGAACACCACCTAGGCGCAGTCGCTCTGGTTCTTCTCTGTCACCTAAACAGAAATCTAAAACACCATCTAGACAAAGTCATTCAAGTTCATCTCCTCACTCTAAAGTGAAATCTGGAACACCACCCAGGCAAGGGCCTGTAGCAAGTCCCCAGGTGAATGAACAATCTGTGACACCTCAAAGACAGAGCCGTTCTGAATCATCACCTGACCCTGAGGTGAAATCTAGGACCCCTTCAAGACAAAGCTATTCTGGGTCCTCTCCTAGAATGAAATCTAGCACACCTCCAAAACAGAGCCCATCCAGATTGTCATCTCCACAATCCAAAGGGAGGCTAGTGTCGCCAAGACGACAAAGCCATTCTGGCTCCTCTTCTCCAAGTCCTACTCGGATGACATCTAGAACGCCTCCAAGGCAAAGCAGGTCAGTGTCTCCCTGCTCTAAGGTGGAATCTATATTGCTGCCAAGACATAGTCGTTCTAGGTCCTCCTCACCAGATACCAAAGTAAAACCTAGAACACCACCAGGACAAAGTCACTCAGGGTCTGTTTCACCGTGCCCCAAAGTAAAGCCCCATACTTCACCAGGGCAAAATGTTTCTGCATCAAAGTCACCATGTCCTCAAGAGAAGTCTAGTGACTTACCAGCACAAAGTTGCTCTGGATCCTTAAGCCTCTCTCCAGTAAAATCTAGTTCACCACTAAGAGAGAGTCATTTCAGATCCTTATCTCTGCAACAGAAAGGACAATCCCAAACGTCACCAGATCCCAGATCTGATACTTCAAGCCCAGAGGTAAAACAGAGTCACTTAGAATCTCCATCTTTGCAGAACAAATCTCAGACACCACCTAAGGGTGGCCAGTCTAGGTCTTCATCTCCAGTCACTGAGCTGGCACCCATATCTCCAAGACCAGACCGAAGTGAACTGTCGGCAAGTCCTAGGCTGAAATCTGGAATGTCACCTGAGCAGAGCAGGTCCCAGTCTGACTCTTTCTCATATACTGCAATAGACGCTAAATCTTGCCTGGGGCAGAGTAGATCAGAGCCTTCTGAATCAAAAGAGAAAGCTGGTTTACCTCTTCAGGGAGATGTTAGTACATCATCACCTAGACTACGAGACAGGTTTAGTCCTTCTCCAGTGCAAGATAGGCCTGAGTCTTCGCTGGTACCGAAAGACACACCTGAAACCCCATCAAAGGAAAGAAGTGCTGCTGGGTCATCTCCAGATACAAAAGACCAAAGTAGTACATTAGCTAAGTCAAACCAAGATGATGAACTAATGGAGATAGAGAAATCGGAAGAATCCTCCAACCAGGTTTTATTCCATTTGTCTCCAGAACTTAAAGAAATGGTTGGAAATAACTTTGAACCATCTCCTGATGTAGAAGAAAGGCCTGATGTGTCTTTGACTCTTGACCAAAACCAGTCACAGGTTTCTTCAGAAGCAGAAGTCCCTACAGTGGCCTCATCTTGGGGTGAGCCACATTTTTCTCCAGAACATAAAGAACTGTCTAGTTCTCCCCCGAGGGAGAATAACTGTGGATCGCTTTTAGAATGTGGAAACTCAGGCCCTATTGTTACAGACATGAATACTGGACTTTCTCCTGAGATTAAAGATGATTTGAATGAACCTTTCCTTAATCAACTGGAGACAGAGCCATCTCTAGACATGAAAGAACAATCAGCAAGATCCTCCAGGCGCAGCAGTTCTGAGTTATCCCCAGATGCAGTGGAAAAGACAGGGATGTCTTCAAATCAGAGTGTCTCTTCTCCCGTACTTGATAATGTACCCAGAACACCCTCTAGAGAAAGAAGTAGTTCTGCATCTTCTCCTGAACTGAAAGATGGTTTACCCAGAACTCCATCAAGGAGAAGTAGGTCTGGGTCTTCTCCAGGACTTAGAGATGGCTCTGGGACTCCCTCAAGGCACAGCCTGTCTGGGTCCTCTCCTGGAATGAAAGATATACCTAGAACACCGTCCAGGGGGAGAAGTGAATGTGATTCTTCCCCAGAACCAAAAGCTTTGCCTCAGACTCCTAGAGCAAGGAGTCATTCTCCATCATCTCCAGAGCTCAAGTGTCTTACCCCCCAGAGAGAAAGAAGTGCATCAGAATCCTCAGTTGAACAGAAAGCTGAGACCAGGACACCTCTTGGGCAGAGAAGCCGGTCTGGATCTTCTCAAGAACTTGATGGGAAACCCAGTGCATCTCCTCAGGAAAGGAGTGAGTCAGACTCTTCTCCTGATTCCAAAGCCAAGATACGACCCCCACTTAGACAGAGAAGTCGCTCTGGATCATCCCCAGAGGTTGACAGCAAATCCCGACCTTCTCCTCAGCACAGTAGATCTGGTTCCTCCCCTGAATTGAAAGATAAACCAAGAGTGGCACCCAGGGCACAGAGC